AGAACCAAACTTTAAATGTATTCCACTAGCGGATTAGCTTATTAGCTTCCTTTTTAGGTTAGCAAAAACCTATAAGTTGGGAAAATATAGAGGTTTTCAAACAAGACGTCAAACTGTTGATGGGAAGATATTACATGTAGAGTAAGGTCAGGTTTTATTTGAAGTTACTGGACAATAAGGGAGCATGGATGGAGAATCGAGGCTGGGGGGATAAAATGGTCGTCCGTGGGAGTACCGTGCTAATGTTGCGCTGGTTACGCTTTACTCTCTCCATCTCAGGGGTTTCAGGCAAAGCTGTCCCTCCTCCCAAATCTTCTTTGTAATGAATCTTTGTGTGGATGAAGGACGAAAGCACGAACAAAAAGTTAGCCTGGTCCTTCTGCTCACACTCGTGCTTAGATGAGCAACAGCATTAGAGCACAAAGAATCAGCAACAAGGAGTAAAAATCAAAAGCAAACAACAAAGATCACAACTCTAAACACACAAGTTCACCTACAGCTGTAAACATTAGTCCACCAAACTAAATCTAAAGGGTTAGTTCTCATTAAAAGGCTGTATGTAACAATGAACTTCATTTAAAGAGATGTAAGGTTGATGCCAGAGTTTGTTAAAATGAAGAAAGACAAACTCAAAAAACGGTTAAAGATGAAAAAATGAAAATAAAAACTATTGTAGAATATATACCAAGCTGAAATTCTTTGTGTTTTCTTTAACACGGAGCATTTCTGGAGTGTCCTTAACAGTAGACACTTTGCCTTTTGTGTTTTTTAGGTCAATCTGGTATTGGAGCTATAAGAAGAAGGGAAAAATGGTTTGGTTAAAGTGTCTAAAGAAGGGAAAAAGAAGGGAAACCAGTGCAAAATACATTCTCTATTATCTGCCCTTTCAGCGCTGATTAAAGCATAGCTTATAAATAACACAAACACAAGTGAAAAATTTAAGAGAGTTTAATATTTCCATATCTTAATGCAGAAGGCAGAGACGATATGAATATAAAACAAAGAAAATAGCTTTTCCAACTTACAGTGCTGAAGTTCCTCTGGTTCTCACGGACTCTCTGCATCTCCGGGGTGTCCAGAACCGGCACATAGTGGGACATCGTCTTCTCAGCTTCCTCTTTGTACTTTTTCTGTTTTAAACAATGAAGAAAAAAAAGCACATTTAAAGGTCAAGCTGGTGATTTGGGTTTAAACACTGCACTCACAGAGGACAAAGCGTTTCCGGTCGTTTTCAGAGAGGGAATTGATGGTTCATTTCAAACCTGGCTGACGATGTTCCTCATCTGCTGAGCGTGGATGATGTCAGGGGTGTCGATGACGGTGGTGTAGCTGGCTCTGTCCATCTCAGCGGTCTGTTTGTATTTAGTCTAAAGAGGAGAAACCATCACTGAGGACTTCCTAATGTAGCTATGAAACAGTGTAATCCAGCACACACATTAGAGATTAAAGCTCTTGCAAACGTACTAAAGTTTACTGAACTGTTGCATAAGTTTTTGCAGCAGATTCTGGTTTGTATTTAAGTCTAGAGCAGGGGTCTGCAACATTTCAAGTTCATAGAGCCAGTTTGCCCTGAGTCTGGCTAAATAAAAGTCACTTAGAGCCACATTAAATTACTTTTAATAAAACACAATCGCTTATAGGGGTGATCAGTGAGGCAGCTGCCTTGCAGCAAGAAGGTTCTGGGTTCAATTCCCGGCCCAGGGTCTTTCTGCATGGAGTTTGCATGTTCTCCCTCAGCATACGTGGGTTCTCTCTGGGTACTCCAGCTTCCTCCCACAGTCCAAAAACATGACTGTTAGGTTAACTCTAAATTCTCCTCAGGTGTGTGAATTGTTTTTGTCTCTGTGTTGCCCTGTGATGGACTGACAACCTGTCCAGGTTGTTCTGCGCCTCATAGGAATAGGCACCAGCACCCCTTACAACCCCAGCAGGGATAAAGCGTGACAAAAATAGATGAAACTGATTATTTTCATTGACATCTGCCAAAGGAGATCTGTTCCCATCTTAAACAACCAACAGTTTATTGGTATTTTTAGCTAAATAATAAGGAACAATAAGAAACAACATAAAACAATAAAAAAAGATTAAACATTTATTTTCTTCTACAGGCTATTATTTAATATATAAAGAAAATAAAATCGAAAGACAAAACATACAGTTTTGCCAACATTTTACAATTTATGTTGCGTTGCATTAAAATCCTGATAATATAACCTGAATTTTAGGAAGATTTTATTAAAACGGACCTGACTGAGGATTTCAGTTGCATTCCTGGCTCTCATAAAGTCCGGCGTGTCTGTAGCCAAAGCCAACATTCCTTTACCCTTGATCTCCTGCTCCAATGACTTCTTATACTCCCTCTGCAAACAGGAAGAAAAAAAAATCCAAAATAACAACTACATCATTTACTAAACCAAATAGATACAAACGACAGACATTTCTACTGTTTCATACTGAGGAGGGCTGCAAAACACCTAGGGGGACAGGGAACAGAATAGGTTAGCAGGAGTTAGGGAAGATTTAGGGAAAACAATTGATTTAACACCACAGGAGCTCCACTTAAAACTGAAAAAATAAATAGGAAATGGAAGTCAAGAGTTAAAACAGCATATAAAAACATAATTAGTCCTTTTTAACTTGAGATTATTTTTTTAATCAATTACAACCCAAAGAATTTCTAAAATTGAGAGTTTATTTAGATTAAAAATGAAGGAAAAGGCATGTTTTAAGCATGTTTCAAGTGTGTCAGCTTTAAAAAAAATAAAGAAGTGTAAAAAAATAAAGGGGGACATGAGGGAAATTTCAAGGGAACCTATTTTTCTAAACTACGGAGCGATTAAAAAGTAGTCATGTTAAAAAGCAGGAAGCTCGACACAGAATCAAACCCATGTAGTGCAGCGACAGTTTAGTTTAGAGGGGGAGGGGGTTCACCATGAGTGGGGTTAGGTGGGGAGGGGGGGGTCAATCAATGAGATAAGAGCGTGATGCCACCTCCATCACCTCCCGGTTAGCCGTACCTCACACAGGATTTGAGTGGCATTCTTTGCCCTCAAAAGCTCCGGAGTTTCCTCCAGTACAGTTAGCCCTTTACCCTTCACTCCCTCCTCTAGATCCTTCCTGTACTCTTTCTACACAACGGAAGAAAGACAAGAGAGACTGCAGAGATGGGCACACAGGCAGGCAAGGCCAAGGCATACAGACAATTAAGGCTCAAAGTCACCAAAATCTCAACAAAAAATTAAATAACGGCAGCTGCTCTCATATTAATACAACTAGAAACATTTACACAGGGAGAAAGTGGAGATATTGCTGACTTTGGCAAACAGATATGGTAAAACAAGTTTTACATAAAATTAAACATGGAAAGTAGCTTCAAAACAAGAAACTGAAAACATTTCTTCATTTAAACTGTTCCATGCAGTTCTAAAGAACGTTGCTGTATAAATTTGAGGGGTTGATGGATGGAAACGAGGAGTTTTAAGATGTCAGTGGATGCAGAGCAACTCAGACTACTTCTCTGCAAAAGCATGCAGTGTGGGAAATTGTTGTGTGGTCGCTTAGGCAAGCAGTGCAGTGAAGCAGCTTAAAAGCAAAAAAAAAGCAAGCTTATAGAAGGAGAAGTAGGAGGATAAAAGATGTATAAACAAAAGGAGGGGCGGGGCTTTGGCTGTGGTATAATCTTAGTATGATGAGGTAAAAAAGGGGGAGGTTAACGGGATAAACCAGCCTTCAGTTACCTCACTGGCTATTTTGGTGGCGTGTCTGACATGAATCATGGCAGGAGTGACCTCCAAGCCTGAGAGGTTCTTCCCCCTCATGGACTCCTCAAAGTCCTTCTTATAGTCTTTCTATTGGCCACAAAGATAAGACAGACAGAGCTCAGACAATCACATGCAAGCAGAGTGGAGCTGTGCAGCTACAGCATCACTGTTTGCAGTACGACCTAAATCAGCCATTCTGCAGTCTGTGACATAAAAGCATTGGAGCCAGTTGGTTTACATTTGGGAACTTTTTTAGGTTTAACAGCAGTCAAACCGTTTTGTATTGTTGCTAACCAGCGTTTGCAACTATTCCACTGATATTTTGAAGTTATAGTGGAGGATTTGAACTAATTTTTTGAAAAGACACACCTTCTCCAGTTGAAAAAAATAAACTTCTCATGCACAATTCTATCCCGAGAGAGAACGTGCGCAATCCCATTTCTCTTTGTGCACGCTCTGTTTAAAAGTTGCTGTTTTCATTGCTCATACAAGCTTACTTTACAAAAGATGATTTGCAATTTTTCCACTATGTCAGACTCACCACTGGTAAGTGAAAATGGGGATTAGCACATAGGACGTCCTTACATAAACATATCCCCAAAATGATTGACAATTAAGCTCTCTGGTGAACTGTCTTGTGCACGTTAAACGATGGCTCGGTGTAAATTTCCCACAACTAAACTCAGATAAAACAGAGGTGCTAGTGATTGTTCCTGATTACGCTATTCCAGGTATCTACTAGTATCTGGGCGAGTTTTTCTGCTAAATCAAGCCTTAGAAACCTAGGTTATTTTTGACAAAACATTGTCCTTAGAGCACCACTCAAAACTCCTGATAAGGAACTGTTTTTAACAACTTAGAACAATTGTGTCCAGAGGTGATCTTGAAATGATTATCCACGCATTTGCATCTTCCCATTTGCACTACTGTAACAGTCTTTCTCATGTCTACACAAAAAGGAGTTGTCTCATCTTCAGCAGGTTCAGAACTCTGCGGCGAGGTTACTGACTCATACAAACAGAAGGGGCTCATATAACGCAGATTCTAAAAGCTCTTCATCGGCTCCCAGTCTCTTTTCGGTTCCAGTTTAAAATCCTGGTGCTGACCTTCAGGGCCTTTCACAGTCAGGCTCCCTCCTACATTAGAGACTTGTTGTGTCCATAAACCCCCTCTCGGAGCAATCTGGAACGATTTCTGTAACGCTTTCCTTGCACTTACTTGATTCTGTTGATGTTTTTTAAAGCGTGAACTGAAAACATATTTGTTTAAGAAATAATTTTAATTCCAGTAGATTAAGGGTTGTTTTATGACCATGTCTTTTGTGACTGTAAATATATTTTATTTGTATTTTAATTTTGTGAAGCTCTTTGTGACCTCTATGTCTGTGAAAGGTGCTATATAAATAAACATCACTTACCTACTTACAATTAGTAGGACCACTTATTTTGATGATCCAACCCGAAAAAGAACATCCTCCCCTATACTTTTAAGCATATCTAATGTTGATCTCTCAGTCTTTAGAGGGTGGAAACTTTCATGACATCACTCTAATCTTTAACACATCCACCGATTTAAATTAAAAAACTTGTGAAAAACTTTTGACTCAGCTGTCAATCTAAGGATCCTTATCCTTGTGAATTCACCAAACAACTCAGCTGAATAACTTTATTATATAACCTATATTAGTGGATGGTGTAACAAGAATGTGTGGGTTTTCAAATGAAAAGATCAAGGAGCAAAGATATTTAAAATGTGAAGATCCCATGACCAGCCCTTGCAATCCTGTTTTAACACAAATAAACACCTAAATCCTAAACAACAACAACAACAAAAAACACTTTAAATGACTAAAGCTGACAATAACAGAAATGTCATGACTTTAGAAAACCCTGGGTGTTCCTATATTAACCAAAAACATAAAATTAGCAGCTGATCTGCACAGAGGCAGCAAAATAATCTGAGATTTGGCCTCAGACTTTGTTCAGGCTTCAGAAGTGATGTGATGCGGAGACTTCATGAAATGAGCAGAACCCAGACGGGGAGAGGAACCTTTGCTTTGAAGGGAAGTCTTTCCTTCAAGTCTGGAAGAAAACTACTAATATTTCTCTTATATTATTTCCTCTTATGTTTGCCTATAGGGGACTTTAAAAAGGTTTTAAGAACATGATATAGAAAGTTTAAATCTGTTTTTCTTTTCACGAGATTTGTTTAATAAAAATACTTAAAGTACACATGTTTGAAAATACTGATTTAACTTTGTCAGGCTATTAGGGAAATTCATCTGTGGCTCTATTTTAACCAATATCAGAATAAAAGTTGGTTTAAGCAGCTTGTCCTTGATTCTTCTAAATTAATTTGTCTGCCCTGTAGAAGTGTTGCACATCAAAGCAATTACCAAGTATTTTACAAACATATGTCTTCATTGTTCACTGATTTATACATAACTTTGTTAATAAGGATCACAAGTTTTGTTTTGCAGGATAACTACTAATGATACAACTGGATATTTATCAAATTCTTTACTGTTGTCTATATAGCATTATAATTATGGAGTAAATTCTATTCCATTATTGTTTCTGGCAAAGAAGACATTTTGCAAATGGAAAAAAACTTTAAAAATGTTTTTATAAAAAAAAAAATCGGTTTTCTTTGACTTGTAGTTTTCTTTAGATTTTGATTTTCCAAAAAAATTTATTTTTAAAATGTATTTTTACAGATTTTCGATTTTTTTTTTATAAAAACATTTTTAAAGTTTTTTTCCATTTGCAAAATGTCTTCTTTGCCAGAAACAATAATGGAATAGAATTTACTCCATAATTATA